CATCCATTCAAGCTTTCAAGTGGGCTAACCTCTTCTCTCTCTCTCTCTCTCTCTCTCTCTCTGTCTCACACACACACACACCCACACCCACATTTTGTTAACAAAGTTTACTCTTCCAATGTACACAACTATGCTTGATTCTACACTAGATTTAATCACTCAGGCTGCTTCCAACTCTCTATTCATCTTCTGTTTCTGCAACTTGATCATAGTCATTATCCTCGTGGGCTCGAAACCCATCTCCAACAACAATGAAGAAAGCGTAATTCACCTCACAATGCCCACCAGCAAGCATGTGGATGATGAACAAGGCACAAGGGCTAAACAAGTGTGCAAGAGGAACAATGCCTTGATGGAAGTCAGTCAAGTGTCAAATGCCCAGACTGCAATATCTGATAACAGTAAAGTCAGCAGTGCCAATAGTGACAATGGTGAACCTGAGGGTGATGATGAGCTGAGGACAAGAGCAGAAGAATTTATAGAAAAGGTTAATAAAGCATGGAAAGCAGAATTACTAAGAAATTCACGTTTATTCTAGGCAGGCATGGTCTAAAAGCCAGCAATTTTTTGTTGCAGTGATGAGGCTTTGCTGTAGCTATGTTGATAACATCTTTAAAAGGAATGTGCTTAAATTGCCTTCTATTATTCCTTTTAACTTTATGACTTTTTTTCTCTCTGTTTTTGGAGTTGTGGACTTAAATGTTCTGTCATATGGATAAAGAGAATCGATTTGGGAGAATGAAAGATAGATCTGCAATTTTGTGAACTTTTTAAACACTCATAAGTTCATAACCAAGAGAGCATTCACTCAAATTCCAACTTTCAGATACTAAGAAGTTTATGGAACAAATCACTAATCATGTTTCATACATCTAAAAATGCTACACCATAGAACACTAGAAATACATGAATACAACAGCCACACGATAAGCCCCGTGCTCGAGAGACCGACCTAAAACCTAATAAGAACGACTACAATCCTGGGTTAAAACCAACATGAGGTACGTTAAGCCTAGTTTGTCCTTCACAAAAGAGCCAATGAGTTTGCATATTGGTGTCAGACATGAGTGAGCCTAGATGTCACTGATTCTGGAGAAAATAATTAAGATACAACCATCACACAGGGAGCAAACGTGATCAATAAGAAACTTCACAGTTTGGTTGACCAGGGCCTTTAGATTCCTCTTCCGACAACGATTTACTCTCGGGTGCTGAGTTCTTAAAGCTGTTCATGGGGTTTACAGAAGTTGAATTGTTTCCACGGAAGGAAGGAGAAGTCAGAATGGGCTTTACTCCACCACAGACCTTCATTTCTTCACCAGACACGGTATTGACAACAATAGGGACAATTGACGATGATACAGGCTCGAGTCTCTGTTTCTTGGGCTTCTGTTCCTGCTGGTGACCTGGTAGAAAACTCCCCACCACAACCTGATGTAGTTAAAACAGTTCAAAGGAAAACATTAACTGCACAACTCTTGATATATACAGGTGGAACATGCAAAAAAGAAGTATTCACTGTTATAAAGTAAGCTACAATACATTACAACAATGAACTTAGAATATAATAACAAAATATTGGATTATTTGATAAAGAAATAGTAAAATTAACATTTTAAACGTGTCAGAAATTAATCAATTATATAATGACTGACTATTATCTTCTTTTACTTCATCTTTTGTTCTCTCTTCCTAGGAAATGATGTTACCTGCACAGGGCCAGCAGCTATCAACATACCAGCAAGCCCTCCCCCAACCACTCTACCATCTGGACCTGCCAAAGCGACACTCATGCCACCAGATCTGCTCTTTGTTCCTGCGTTCTCAATTGCAATATATGATCCAGACAAGGAAAGTATCTCAAAACGGCCCTGTAAAATTTAAAAGAAAAAAAAAACACCGTCAAATTTTCTCCCGATCAACAACGTCAGGAAACTGGGTATGATAACAGTTTAACTACATCATGTCGGCCAAGTTACAAACTTGAAACTTTTTGGGTCAGCATAAAGATAAGAACTTATACAAGTCATTTACTAAAACAGTTATAGAGTTGATCAATCTTCCACATTAATGTTGTCTTCTGCAGGAACATATGGAGTCAATAATTGCTGTATTTTCTTTTGATTTAATGTGTTGTTCACTAGCTATAGTAGCAGAACAAATAACAAAAATACTGAAAGGTTATACTCTTAAATATAGAGCATTTAAAAATAAATAACATATGATATACACAACACCAAGTATGTAAATAGCTTGCAACTAAGAAGTTACATTGTATAGTAGTAACACACAATTTGAAAGGAGGACGAAAGGCCATACCTCATATGTTAAAGTACCCCCAGAAGAACTGGGCTGCCGAAGTGTAACATTTGAAATGGTACCATTTGCAGAAAGTATGCAAATAGCTCGAGACCCTTGTTGAGAGAATGACATGATCTTCATCGTAACATCCTACGACAACC